ACCTCTCCTTCTCTGTGTATTTGTTGTGTCTTCAAGATCCGAGTTCCTACAGTAACCGGACCTCCGCGTGGCTATCTGAGACTATCTTATACTTCAGGTATGCCCGAAAAACCATTATGGTCCCTCAATTTGGGTCCAATTTGGTATTGGTCCCTAAAACTATGTCCGTTTCAAACCATTGGTTCTTGGTATCTTGACACCGTTAAAATCTTCTGACATGACATTAATATCGTTAATTGATGAGGTGGACACATAGGCTGGCTTATATGTGGCATTTGACCTGGACATGAAATTTTAAAAAGAAATAAATAAAAAGAAATGGACAATCAGATGCGAAAGGCACACATATGACAAACGCTGAACACAAGCACAGACACTGGAAGAAAATGATCGCCGTTGCCCCCCTTCTCTCTATCCATACAAATTTCAAATCTTCGATCCCTTTTCTGTACGCGAAATGGGTGTTAAGAGTTTTGTTGAGGGTGGTATCACGTCCATTGTTGCTGGGTGTAGCACTCATCCGCTTGATTTGATCAAAGTTGGATGCAGCTTTAGGGCAAGCAAGTCGCTGTTTCCGTTAACTGTCACAACATTCATAATCTACATCCTGCTTTAATTTTGCTCTTCCCACACAGTCTCCTCCAGTGGATGCTTCTTCCTCACTTGGCATTGCAGCTCGTGGTTCCAGAGCCGGACCCATATCGGTTGGTGTGCAGATTCTTCACTCCGAGGTGTTTCTGCTCTGTTTTCCGGCGTCTCCGCCACCATGCTCTGCCAAACACTCTATTCCACCACTCGTGTGGGTCTTTACATGTGCTCAAGCAAAAGAGACCGGCCCAGATAAGGGAAACTTGCCTGTGGGTTTTGTAGTGTCCGTGCGTGTGTTTAGTGTTTGTCATGTGTGCGCATTTTGCATCTGATTGTCCATTTCTTTTCTCTTTTTTTTTTTTTAAATTTCATGTCCAGGTCATATGTCATATATAAGCCAGCCTATGTGTCAATTTCATCAATTAACAGTGTTAATGCCATATCAGAAATTTTAACGGTGTCAAGATTCTAGGGACCAACAGTCTGAAACAGACATAATTTTAGGGACCAATACTACATGTTTGAAATTTCAGAGACTAAAACCAAATTGGATCCAAATTTGAGGGACTAAAATTTGTATTAACCCATACTTTTATTTTAAATCTTATTTTTAAAAGTAACAAAAAATTCTTAAAATTTAATACGTTCGATTGTTGTGATAAAAAACCTTGATTGAAGATTGATTGTTGTAAAACGAATATGCAACAAAATAAGTAAGTTTTTCTTTATATATAAGAAAGCATCACCTTAAACAATAATCTCATGCACTGTATGTTAAATACGAGCCGTTAAATTTTAAACAACATAAAATAAAAGAAGAACGTAACTAAAAGCATCCAAGAAAAGAAAAGAATGCAATGGTTCATTTTGTCAACCTTTTCTTCACTGGGTAGCAACAATCAGAGTAGAGCAGTTTTTTTTTTTGCCACACCAAGTTCAATATCCCGACTGAATATCTACTCTAGTTTAAGAACCCGTATTAAAGAGTTTTTTTCAACTGATATAAAAAAAAAAATCTTTTTACATCGGTATAAGAAACAAACACAAAACATATAGTGAAGACAAAATCTACTACTTGTGAATGACGATAGAAATAAAAATGAGTTTTGGTTAACTTACCAATGAAATCGGCGGCATTCTTGCCATTACTGAACCTTCCGGTGGGTTTCTTAGTGGGAAAATCAATGCCGTAGGGGAAATGGTTGGCCTTCACAATGGAAAGCTTGAGAAAATTGTTGTTGCCAACATCCACAAGTGAGTCTCCAAACACATACAGAGCTGAAGCCTTTTGTGCCTCACAGTAGCTAAAGAAGAAGAAGAAGAAGAAGAAGAAAGCGATAGAGACAAAACAAGTCATATTCGTATGAGCTAATTAGTGCGCTTCAAGTGACTTGTGTGGAGGGGAAAGAACTAAGGCTTGGCTTTTAAAGGCTCATCTATTGAATGAGCTGTACACGTTTTGGCGTGTGAAAACAAGAATTTGTGGTCCAAAAACCTATACTCTGGATACTGACGGAATTGTTGTTTATTGTAATAGAAAATTTTAAGTACAAAAATATTAGTTATATTGCTATGAAAAATTTTTAATAGATGAAAAAAATTATTATTATTTTTATAATTTTATAAAAAAGTATTATAGATTTTAGGTAGATTAAAACTTAATCATTTCATAATAAACGTCACTTTTAAAAGTAGTCTCCAGATACACTCAACCCCGCATTTTAATTTGATGTATTTTGTTTTGTCATGGTGGGATTTTGATGGGACGGATCCCAATCAGATAATTTTGTGTTTAGAAAAGGAAAAATAAATTAGGCTTTAAGTGTTTGCTTCAAAATTATATATGAAAAAGTCCGTTAAAACTTTGGCAAAAATACGCCTGCATACAATTCAATTAATCAGTATTCATTGATGTAAATTGTATATATGGTCAAATCACTAGGCCTTTAGAAACTTTCATTATTGACCCAAAAAAGCACATTACGGACTTTCGGGTAAGATTTTGTTGCTTCGGTGCTTCCTCTAACTCAATATATGATTCTCATTTTGAAGATTTGGCTTTTTAATTTGCTTCAAATAGTTCTGACTTTATGTTTTCACAAAGTATTAATTATTTTTTTAACAATTATACTATTCAATAAATGATAATTGTTTATTCGAGACATTACATAAATAATTAAGAACTTTTTAATAAAATACCATTGCATTTTATTAAAAATTAAGACCGTTTGTTGTTTTTTAAACCTGTGCACAGAGTGATATTTGTACATACTACAATGTCACTAATTAAAGTGGAAGAAGTCATAAATATTTCGAAAGTTTCATGTTGAAAACACAAAAATCTTTTATAAAAAAATATTTTGGTCAAATTTATACTCTCCAATTTTTTTTTATAAAAAGTTTTTAGGGTCACTATTTAATATTTATTCTTATGCATAACTAAGAGACTTCAACGACCTATCTGAAATATTCATTATCGTTTTTTCAATTAAGTTAGTCAGACTTGTTTAATTATCCAAGTGAGCCGAGACCATTATTTACATGATAGAGATAGGAAGTATTTTTAAAAAGTGATTTAAAATTTTAAAATGTCAAGTCATTATGACACCTACCTGTCATGATGATATCTACTATTAGGACTTTATCATGTAATGACACCGAGCCTCTATATAAACCCCACTCTGCCTCCAGTTACGGGCAGAAGGAGTTGTATCAACTTCTTTATATAATACCAGTATGTTTTTTTCATGAGTTCTCTCTAAATTTCTCTCTTCTGAAAGCCTCACTTATAATGTTTTTCTTTTATCGCCAGATATTTAAATAAATCAATTATCTGTACAAAACGAGTAATTATTAGATTGAAGTCAAAAGTATACTACTTGGTGAATTAAATTCCAAATGGAATCAGAGAGAGGACGGCTGTCAATTTTCAGGGCACTTTGGCAACAACATTCAGCATATCCAAGCACTATGGATGTGCGCACCAAGCTAGAATGGAATGCTTCGCCCCACTACTCTCTCTCAACGCTTCGGGTGTTCATATGGGAAAATTACTGTAGAGTCCCACAGAAGACAATTTACTACCAGAAGGTCCCATGAAATCCCCAAATTCCTCATAAGTCCCCAGGGACCTCTGGGTAAATAATTTGAGTTGTGATATTACGTACTTGCCCTCAGTCATTGATAAAGGAAAGAAAAGAGGGAGAGACGCTGATTGGCTTCATTTAGTGCGGTTGTTTGTTATGCATGCACAAGGAAGAGAAGCTTCTGAAAGAAAGAAGGGAGTTATGCGCTGGTACTCCATCGCAGGCAAGCGACATTATTTCTTCATCTTCTTGGTACGTCTCATCATTAACAACATTTCTCTTCTTCTGTACACAACCAGTGTCAAGTTTAATGTTGGTCTGAAAAGTTGATTGTGTGTTGATATGTGGGTATTAAAGATGTGATTCAACTCACTAGAAATATTAAGGGAGGCTCATTTTAGTCATATGTGGTTTTAATCATGTTAGGTGTGGTTTTACTATGTGTGGCTAGGGTTAGAAAGCAATGCTCTGTTTTTCGGTGAATGAGGCTCTGTTTTTCGGTCACTGATGCTGTGTTGCTGATGAAGATGAGTGGAAAATAACAGATATTTATTATTGTAACCCCTCAAATGCGATGGTTAAATGTGTTGTTAATGGGTACATCGAAGGTTGTTAACATAACTGTATGACTTGTTATTAACAACCAGTCGCAGCTTTAATGCTGGTCTGAAAAGTTGATTGGGTGTTTATACGTTGGTATTAAGCATGTGATTAAGCTCTCTAGAAATATCAAGGGAGGCTCATTTTAGTCATATGTGGTTTTAATCATGTTAGGTGTGGTTTTACTATGTGTGGCTATGGTTAGAAAGCAATGCTCTGTTTTTCGGTGAATGATGCTCTGTTTTTCGGGCAATGATGCTGTGTTGCTGATGGAAATGAGTGGAAAATGACAGATATTTATTATTGTAACCCCTCAAATGCGATGGTTAAATGTGTTGTTAATGGGTACATCGAAGGTTGTTAACATAACTGTATGACTTGTTATTAACAAGTGATTGTGGCAGGTTGATATCCAGGATGGCAACTTCCAGTGCAAAGCAATTGTTTTGCTACCTCCATATAGGAGGACAATTTATTAATGGTGTAGAAGGTGAAACGCAGTATGTTGGAGGTGGTGTGAGAACAAGAATGATAAAGGAAGGGACATCATATGGAGAATTTAGAACAATGGTGGCATCAATTGTGGGAAAAGAAAGTAATGGAATGGTTATGAAATTCACAGTAACCTTTGATGAGTGTACATTTGTGGACCTTGTAGATGATGAAGGAGTAGAACATTTGATTAACTTCAATGGCGACAGTGGTCATGTATATATAGGAGAAAATGGAGATCAAAATTCACAACTAACAAGGGATGTTGTAATAGAAGAGCAACATGTGTAAGTTGTGTTATTTAAATTTCGAAGTAATATTAGCTATTGTCAACTGTTGTGCATAAGTTGTTATTATAGTGATCGAAGGTTGTCATTAACGACCCCTTGACCTGTTCTGTTATGTAGGATGGAAGACTTGTTCGGAGGTTCAGATACATTGTCCATGTCTCCACCTAATGTGGTTAGTGAAGACCCACTATTGTTGCCATGTGGTTCAGAAATGATGCCAACCCCAATTCCGGAAATGAATTCAATAAAGTGGAAGGGTTTGGTTATCGGAGAAGGACAGATTTTTCCTAATGCAGTGGCTCTTAGGCAAGCACTGTATAGGTACAGTATTGCTGTGAAGTTTTCATACAAGTTTGTGAAGAACAATCAACAAAAGATCATTGTGAAGTGTATGGCGGAGGGATGCCCGTGGTATATGGGTGCATACTCAATGGGACAAAGACAAGATTCTGAGTTGTTAATAATTAGAACCTTAAGAAGTGAGCATGTGCATTATGCACAGGACAGCTTGGTTGTATCTCACTCTAGAGGGTCAAACTTAACATCATCAATCATGATAGATTCTTTGAGGTGTAATATAGACAAGAATGCTAATGAACTTAGAAGAGATCTGTATAGAGAATATGGGGTGCGACTGAATTATAGTCAAGCATACAGGGGTAGAGAAAGAGCATTGAGGGAAATACATGGTCGTGCACAGGATTCATACATGGCGATTCCCTGGATTTGTGAAAGGCTCATTGAAACTGATCCAAACACAAGTGCTCGATGGGAAGGGTTGGATAGTA